TAAAGATAAGAATCCTAGAAAGAAAAGAGAATTTCATGACTCGAGTTTGAAAACGAATCCAGATGATGGAAAAATTTCGGGACGAAATGAAAATATTGAAATGTCCATCAATTACGCAAACAATGGGGATCTTGGAAGCGTGATGAGGTCATAAATATTGATGATGCATTCGGATATATGGTATCACAAGAAATTGACAAAGAGGTTGAGGATCCTGAACCAAAATCTATGATTGAATGTCAGAAAAGACATGATTGGGACAAGTGGAAAGGTGCTATTCAAGCCGAGTTAGATTCACTTAATAAACGAAAGGTTTTTGGACCTATTACCATTATACCAAAAGACATAAAACCTATTGGATACAGATGGGTTTTTGTCAGAAAAAAGAAATGAAAAAAATGAGATCACAAGATATAATGCTCGCCTTGTAGCACAGGGATTCTCCCAGAGGCCTGGGATCGATTATGATGAAACATATTCCCCTGTTATGGATGCAATTACCTTCAGATACTTGATTAGTTTAGCCATCCATGAAAACCTTGAGATGCGTCTCATGGATGTTGTGATTGCTTACTTATATGGATCGCTAGACACTGACATTTATATGAAAATCCCTGAAGGGATTAGAGTACCCGAAGCACTAAAGTCCAAACATAAAGATTTATGTGTGATAAAACTGCAAAGATCATTGTATGGCTTGAAACAATCCGGGCGTATGTGGTATAATTGTTTGAGTGAACAATTACTTAAACGGGGATACATAAATAATCAAATATGCCCGTGTGTCTTTATAAAAAGATCACAAGATGGAGTTGTGATAATTGCTGTCTATGTCGATGATCTTAATATTATTGGGACTCCAAATAAAATCCAAGAAGCAGTTACATTACTGAGAGGCGAATTTCAAATGAAAGATCTCGGACAAACCAAATATTGTCTCGGCTTGCAAATAGAACGAGTCCAAAATGGAATATTTGTCCATCAATCTAATTACACTAAAAGAATATTGAAATGATTCAATATGGACAAGGCTAATCCTCTTTGTACCCCAATGGTCAATCGAACGTTAGATGTTGAAAAGGATCCATTTCGACCTCGTGAAAAGGATGAAGAATTACTTGGTCCTGAAATACCATATATGAGTGCAATAGGAGCTCTTATGTATCTTGCAAATTGCACCCGACCAGATATATCTTTTGCTACCAACTTGTTAGCAAGATATAACTCATCACCTACGAGGAGACACTGGAATGGAATCAAACACATATTCCGTTATCTCCAAGGGACAATCGATTTGGGATTGTTTTACTCAAATGATAAAAAACATGAAATGATCGGTTTTGCAGATGCAGGATATCTATCAGACCCTCATAAAGCAAGATCTCAAACTGGCTACGTTTTCACGATTGGTGGAACTGCGTTTTCTTGGCGTTCCCAAAAACAAACATTAGTAGCGACATCTTCAAACCATGCTGAGGTCATTGCACTTCATGAAGCAACTAGGGAAAGCATCTGGCTCAGAAACATGACTCAACATATTCAACAAGCCAGTGGACTATCAAATAATAATGACCCGACGGTGATCTTCGAAGACAATGCAGCATGTGTCGCTCAAACCAAAGAGGGATATATTAAGAGTGACAGAACTAAACATATCCCGCCAAAGTTCTTCTCATATGCTCAAGAGCTTGAAAGAAACAAACAAATCAAAGTTCAATACATTCGATCAAGCGATAATGCAGCAGATTTATTTACGAAGGCGCTTCCGACTACAATCTTTCGAAAACACGTGCACAATATTGGAATGCGACATCTTCGGGATTTGCATAGATGATAACTCGAGGGGGAGCATGTGCGGCTGTACTCTTTTTCCCTTATCTCGGTTTTTTTCCCATATGGTTTTTCCAGATAAGGTTTTTAACGAGGAAGCATAAACGCACAGTTAATAGGAGTAATTCCAAGGGGGAATGTTATAAACGAGTGGATATTCCACTAAAAATAGTCATTCAAGGGGAAGTGTTGTAATATAAGGTGCGCATGCACCTCGTGAGAATATTTTAATGTATGTGAATGACTATTTTGCCCCTGATGTAATTGTATTATTACGATTGTACCATCAGAAGTTTTCCTATAAATAGGGGCTTCAGTTATAATGAAAAATACACTGAAAAGAATACATTTTCTCTATTCTCTATAGTCTCAATTCTCTCTAGTTTTATAACACCTTCTTTTTATTTTTTATTTTTATTTTTGTGGATCACCATTCTTCCTATTTATTAGTTTCAATAATAATATTTTTTTTTCCTTTCAAGTAATAATGTTTGTGTATTGTGTTCTTAAAATTGGGGGTGATTGTTTATCAATTCAACTAGAAAAAAATTAATCAAAACTCAAATTTAACTCAAATTTAACCAAAACTCCACTATCCTCAATATTATCGATATAATTAAATAATATCAACCAATCATTCTTCTACATCACATCAACTTTAATTCACGATTCATCTACTCACATAATTTTAACTAACCATCACTTTCAATCATTTTTCTCATACTTTACATCAAATCAACTTTAATTATGTTATTTAAATATTATTTTAATATATCCACTAACAACTAACCATACCACTTTTTTTTTTTTCAAAATTAACTATAGTTAAAAAAGAAACCAAATAAAAACTAGTTAAATCCATAAACAATCACCCATGAAATATTTTGGTCGCTCCAGCAGTTTTTGTGGTGCATATAATTATAGCGTGAGGGACCAGCGGCGAATCCAGAAGTATTTATCAGGGCAAAAACTAAAGTAAGGAAACAATTCATTTCAATACTGAAAATATATGTCAAAGCTTTGACATGATATTAAACTAAAGAATGATGTAAAAAAAAAGAGAAGAAGATAATTAGATAAAAAAAATGCGAACAATGAAATAACAAAGCATACATGTTTTAGGACTGAGAATTTTTTTCCTCATCTCTTCTTGTTTTTGAGATAAAATCATCTAGAACTAAGCACAAAATTCATAGATCAACACAATATATATATATATATATATATAAACTAATCCTGGTGTGAATACCATATTTGATGCTACTTTCAGTTGTGTATGATGTTATTTTTAATCTTACATGGTGTTATCATTTTTACAAATGCTAACATAAATTGTGTTGCTATTTTTAATAAAATACATCCTGATTAAAAATAGCACTAAAATACAATCAATCATAACACTACATACAATTAAAAATAGCGGTTATCACGGTTTTCACGCTAGGACTTAGTTCTCATTTGAACCAAATCCTATATATATATATATATATATATATATATAGGAATTAGTTCAAATGCAGCCGCTTTTTTAAAGTGAGGACGTGAGACTCATTTTTAGCCACAAGATTTGGTACATCATGTGTGGCCAAGATTTACTATTTTCTTTTTATTATTTTAATTATTTAAATATTATTTTAACCCGTTGACTCCGGCATTGACCGTTGACTTCCGGCGAAATATGTTGACTTTCAGCGGTTACTGTTGACTTTCGGCATTGACTCCAGCGTTGACCGTTGACAACTAACCTTTCAACTAGGTTAGTTCTCTGTAGTTGCCAGGTTAGTTCTATGTAGTTGCTAGACTATTTCTATATAGTTGCTAGGTTAGTTGTCTGTAGTTGCTAGGTTAGTTCTCTGTAGTTGCTAGGTTAGTTCTTTGTAGTTGCTAAGTTAGCTCTCTGTAGTTGCTAAAACCTGTCCGCATTTTAAGAGCTGTAATCATTTGATCCGCCCCCTATATATATATATATATATATATATATATATATATATATATTTGACAATATATTACCAGAAAATTAGGACCTCAAACTGCAACTAAATTTTTCCTCTTTTTTCTTTCAATTTACGAATTCTAAATAAATGAGCAGGAAAAAAAATTCTCTCGGGTGAGAGCGAAATTGTCTCGGGTGAGAGCGAATTTTTCTTGGGTGAGAGTTGAATTCCCTCGTTGAGGGAGTTGGGAGGTTCAGTCTAATAACGACGCTGTTTGTTTTTAGGTTTTATTGGGGACGAAAGGGGTGCAGTGCCAATCCAGGAATAGAGGGCAAAGATCCGGGGAGTAGTACTACAGGGGAGGTGGAAGAAGGGGTTTTGCGAAAATTAACACAGATGTCGCTATCAGCTAAGGAGGCAGGTGAAGTGGAAATCAAAGAGGATGACATTATAACCAGTGAAGAGGAGTGCGCTCGGAGCCTTTTTGGTAAGGTAGTGGGTGATAGGCACGCGGGGCTGCTGGGTATTAAACGAACGATGGGGGCAATTTGGAGACTGCAGCACACTATGGAGGTAAAGGAAATCAGTGCAAATTTCTTTCAATTCATCTTTCTCTCTCAAGAGGATAAGAAGAAAGTAGCTGCAGGATTCAACTGGATGTATGAAAACCAATATCTTATTTTAAAAGAGTGGTTTCCGGGTTTACATAGCAAACATTGTTGTTTTGAGGAGATTACTCTTTGGGTCCAAGTGTTGAACATGCCTTTAAATTGGATGAGTACTGAAGTGGGTCTGAAAGTGGGTAAGATCTTTACCAAGTCAAAAATGTGGTTGTTTGTAAAGTTGGGGGAGATGTGGGTAGCTTCTTGAAACTCCTGGTGGCTATAAACATAAATGAGGCTATTCCTCGGTGCACATCTATCAAATTGGGGAACCAAAGGACAATGGTGCTGTTCAGATATGAGAAGCTAGTCAACTTGTGCTACTACTGTGGGATGATTGGGCATTTGGAAAGGAATTGTATTAAGAAGGGAAAAGATATTGAAAATGATTGTGTAGTTGCTGGTTAATTTGGTGAGTGGCTAAAGACTGCTGAGACATATCCAGGGGGCAGAAGTTTGCAGTCTGACAGTCCAGGTGATAAGGATTCCCAACCTAGTAGGAGTCCTATTCAGGAATCATGGGTCTCAGCAAATGCTAATCCAAATGGGGGAGGTCCAGAGCAAATAAAGAGTAATGAGGCTAGGGGAGCTAGTCCACAACAACCAGGGGAAATTTTTTAAACTGTTGGTAGTAAACAGATTTCAAAGCTTTATGAACATGAAGCTGGTGGTTCTAGTAAAAAGGCTATGGAAATAGAAGAAACACTGATGGCCAAGGCAGTCCCTGAGAGCATCGGTCAGAGACCTGTGTGCAAGTATAATCTGAGAAAGAAGCCTGCTGTTGGGTGGAGAAGGAGAGCACCAGCAAAGAGTAGTGTGAAGTTTGTCCCTGAAACCTCCTACACACAACAGGAAAAAGGATCTCTGAAGAGAAGTAGAGCTCTGGTGATCTATGAGGGGGGCCAAACAGAAGCAGAAGGCAGTTCAGAGAAGAGAATGAAAGGAAATGGTGGACAATATTTGGTGGAGAAGGCCAGCCAAAAATGGCCCCAGAGTGATCAATGAAGGTCATGGTGTGGAACTGTCGAGGACTGGGTGGGCCCTCGACAGTTTCCCAGATCAAGGATTCGAGGAGAATCCACCACCCAAATATTATATTTTTATCTGAGACTAAGAAATCTGTTCAGTTTACTCAGACTGTTTGTAGGAAGTTGGGTTACCAGGATAGATGGCATTTGGAAAAACCTATTGGGACCAGAGGTGGACTGTTGCTTTTATGGGATTCTAATACTGAGGTTAAGCAAATTCTGGGGAATGAGTTTTGTTGTCAAGTGGAAGTGAGAGGCCCAACTATGTCAACTGGGTGTTGGATGGTTTTTGTGTATCTGAGCACAGATAGAAGGGAAAGATCTAAACAGTGGGAATTTCTTGAAGATAGCAAGGTCAAGTGGGGCCAATGCTGGATGATGGCAGGTGACTGGAATGACATAGTCTGTAATGAGGAGAAAAGGGGGGGTGTGAGAAGGAGTGCTAGCAGCTTTGTTGGGTTTCAGCAGTTTATTATGAATATGCAGATGCATGAAGTGGCTCAGATGGGGTCTTTTTATACCTGGGGCAATAATAGAGCTAATGATGGTTATGTGGAGGAGAGATTAGACAAAATATTTGTGTCTTATGAATGGCTGATCAGTTTTCCAAATATGGAGGCATCTAACTATTATAGGTCAGCCTCAAATCATAATACTATGTTTTTTGACACTGATAAAGAGCTTGACAGGAGACACAAAAGGTTTTCTTTCAGCAGTCAATGGGAAAGTTTAGAGGGAGTGCAAGATGTTGTACAAGAAGGATGGAATGTGCAGGTGGATGGCTCTTATATGTTCCAAGTGCATCAGAAAGTGAAGAGCACCAGAATGGCTCTTCTTGCCTGGCACAAGCCACAACACAGGAATAGTGAAAGAATCATTTCCACCACCACCGCAAAGTTGGAAGAGATGAGAGCCGCTGGTAAGGACAGAGATTGGGAAGAATGGGCAGTACTAAAGTCTGAGTTGGACAGTGCTCATCAGGAAGAGGAAATGTACTGGAGGGTTAAATCTAGAGCATTGTGGCTGAAAGCTGGTGATCGAAATTCAAGATTTTTTCATGCCTTTACATCTCAGAGAAGAAGATCAAATTCTATTTCCAAACTTATTACTCCTTCTGGTGATGTCTGTGATACTCACGAGTCCATGGAGAGGCATATTACCAATTTTTACTCAGCTTTATTCTCTTCTGAGGGATCTAGTGGAGGTGATGAGCTACTTCAATATATTCCACACTCCACTTCAGAGGCCCTAAATAATGATCTTGTCAGAGCTATGAATGAGGAGGAAATCAAGGCTGCGGTGTTTAGCATGGCTCCTGAGAAATCCCCTGGGGATGATGGTATGTCTGCCTTGTTTTTTCAAAAGTTTTGGCATATTGTGAAAGATGATGTTTGCAAGGCTGTGTGTAGTTTCTTTAGAACTGGGCATTTACTGAAAAATTGGAAACATACTATTATCACCCTTATTCCTAAATGTTTGTATCCTGACAAGCTAAGCAATTACAGGCCAATAAGTTTATGTGGTGTATTGTATAAAATTATTGCAAAGCTGTTGGCTGAGAGGCTGAAATGCTGTTTGGATATCTGTGTCAGTCAAGCACAGACTGCTTTTGTTCCTGGTAGATTCTTATTGGATAATATTGTTATTGCCCATGAAGATTTTCATTTCCTTCATAGACATGTTTCTGGGCCTAATGTGTTCATGGCAGTCAAACTTGACATGGAAAAGGCATATGACCGTGTGGAATGGGAGTGTGTTAGGAAGGTTATGAGGAAAATGGGTTTTCATGGCAAATTTGTTCAGTGGATTATTAACTGCATATCTTGTCCCAGCTTTTCTTTTAATTTGAATGGCAGAGTATGTGGATATGTAACATCTAGCAGGGGGATTAGGCAAGGGGATCCTCTGTCCCCTTACCTGTTCATTTTGATGTCTGAAGTGTTCTCTGCTTATCTGCAACATAAGATGAATGCTGGGTGTTTTAGGGGCATTAAAGTTTCTAGAGAAGGGCCAATGCTGTCACATTTGTTATTTGCTGATGATGCTCTTATATTTTGTAAAGCTGATGAAGAGCATGCTGAGTTGCTGTTGGATATTCTTCAAAAATACCAAAGATTTTCTGGCCAGAAAGTGAACTTGCACAAATCTTCCCTATTTATGAGCAAAAACAGTTCAGAGAATCTGCAGGTTAGGATCTCTTCTACTCTTAATGGTGTTGTGGTTAAGAGGTCATCAAGGTATTTGGGGTTACCTTTAGGGATTGGGGCATCAAAAATTGAGACTTTTCAGTTTGTGGTGGATGCTGTTAGAGATAGAATATGCAGCTGGAAAAATTCTTTTCTTTCAACTGCAGGAAAGGAAGTTTTGGTGAAATCTGTCTTGTGTGCTCTTCCAGTTTTTGTCATGTCTTGCTTTGTATTGCCTGTTGGGTTGTGTACAGAAGTGTGCAGGTTAGTGGCTAATTTCTGGTGGAATAAGGGGGATAGACAGAAACAGACTTTGCATTGGCTCTCTTGGGATACATTGTCATTTCCAAAGGATGAAGGGGGTCTTGGTTTTCTGGACCTCAAGCTCTTTAATAAAGCTCTGATTTTGAAACAGTTATGGAGGCTCATTGAGCAGCCTGAGATGCTGATGTGCAGAGTTCTCAAGAGCAAATATTTCAAAAACTGCTCCATCTTTGACTGGGAAAAATCAGGGAGTGCATCTTGGCTTTGGAAACCATGGGCTTCCTACCTTCCTCTGCTGCAACAACAGGTCAACCTTGTCATTAGAAATGGCCAAACCACTAAGATAAATGAGGTGAACTGGGTGCCAGGGGTGAGCTGTAGGAAACCTGAGCTGAGAGTTGAAGTTGAGGGGAACTTATTCTGGGTGAAAGACTTGCTGATTGCAGGTGGAGTGCAGTGGGATAATACCTTAGTCAGAGCTTTGTTCACTGAAGCTGATGCTGATAAAATTCTGGGAATCCAATCTCTGAATCCCAGGACAGCTGACCAATGGAATTGCTCATTTATCTGCAAAGGAAAGTTTTCTGTGAAGAAAGCCTATTCCAAGATGTTGTCTGAGAAGTTGTGTATGAACAATGTGGCTGAGAGTAGTACAATGGCAAGGGGCAATAAGAAAGCTAGAAGAAGATGTTGGGACTTGGCAGTTATGGGGAAGGTGAAGCACTTTATTTGGCAATGCTTTTCTAATATTATCCCTGTGAACAGCAACTTGCAGGCCAGAGGACTTGAAGTGGAACCATATGCAGGGTTTGTGGGGAAAAGGAGGAAACTCTGGAACACACTTTATTTCAATGCAGGAAAGCTAGGGTTGTTTGGCAGCTTTCTCCTGTAACTTGGAATAGAGTTCCTCATGAGATGATGACTTTTAAGCAATGGTGGTGGTGGGTTAGTACCATGGCTGTAAATGACACATCTGAGGATCGAATCCAGCTCTCCACATATATTCCATGGTGGTTGTGGAGAGCTCGAAATCTATGGGTTTTTGAAAGAATTTGGCAGGATGAAGCTTGGATCATCAGGGCTGCTTTGAAGGACTGGAGGGACTTCAACCAAAACAATAACAGGTGATTGCATGAGCGCTTTGTAGATGAGTTAGGTCTTTGTGTCAGTGGCTTATCTAGTTGGTGCTGTCTGTAATGTTCTGGCTTGTATATGTTCAGTTTGTACTGTTTAGTGTTGGGGTTGAAGTGTGCTTGGGTCTTTTATGTTGCTGTGGTATGTTGGTAGCTATGTAGGCTTTGGTTTGCTGTCTTGGTGTTGTGTTTGTATTGTGTCTAGGAAGCAGTGGTGCTTTTCTCTCAGTTCACCCAGGATTTGGGTTTGTCCCATATGTACATTAGCCTGTTGGGCTTTATTCTGTTTTTGAATGGAGATTTGATATCGTTGGAAAAAAAAAANAGAACTAAGCACAAAATTCATGGATCTCAAACTGCAACTAAAACAAATTCAAGCAATTTTTATAGCTATCCCAATGTACAATGCAACCAATTTATTAATTCAATATATCAATCTCAAGATGGAACATAACTGCTAATACCTAAGAGGGCATTTTTGATCGAGTTCAATCAAACTAACCTAGCTATTTCAATCAATAAAAGAGAAAGGGAAAATACAACACATAACAGAAACAAAAATTCTTATAATTGAGAAGTGATTTCCTGTTCGAATGTATTTAATTCAGTGAGAAGGTATAAGAGCATTCCAGATTTCGAGTTTTGGTTTATCTGTTAACATGAGTGTTTTACTCTACCCCTAATTTTATTTTTCTTTTTTCATTTATTTTGATACAAAGAGACCCCATGTGCCGGCCGGGATATTTCGACTACCATATACGTGATAGTCCGGGTGGCCACTCGTAGTCATAGTCAAAGCTCTGGCTGAGGATGAATGTAATTGAGTGCCGTTCTCATTAATTAATTAATGCAAGTTCAAGACAACATCATTTTATTGGGCCCACCGAAAAAAAAGAAATATAAAATTTGAATCATCTTTCATCTTCTTCCCTGCTAATTTTTCTCTAATTATGCCCCTTTTGCAAAGATTTTCTGTGATTATTATTATAATTCATCTTCAGCACTAAGCCTAGGCTCGCCAATATATAAATTCACCCCTATGTGGGACTCCAATTATACATGCGACTATTTATTTATTTATTTGAAAAAATATACATGTGGGAGAATTTTTCTTAAATTCATAAATTGCAAGGTGATATGGGATGTCATACTAGGTCGATTATGTCCTAAAGAGAAACATGACTGAACTGAGTGAACGGGTAGGTCGATTGAAGATCGAGGATACCAGAGGTAGAAGAGTCACTAGGTGGGTGGTGACTCTACATGTAAGATAACTCACCAACAAATCGAGCTAGGGCTAAGCTAGCCTGATAGAAGCTCATCCTGAAGGCATGCAGGTCGATGGTGCAACCAATGAAACAAAATTTATTTGGTGAGGGTCAGAGCAACCTGGTTTGATTTTATAACTTTTATAATTTACTAGTTTTGTAACGAATCAACTTAGATTATTTGATTTTATATATATCTCATTCTCGTTCAACTCTACAAATTCTAAGTTCATTTTTTAAAAACAGCTCATCATTTTTCTGACTCGCAATATGTTAAGAGTATACAATTACCACTACAAGAAAATGATGAAATTCCAACGGAAATATATTCCAATAGAATTCCAACGGCAATTCCAATGGATATTTCAATGTTATTATTTCCGTTGGAATAATTCCAATGGAAATTCCAACAAAATATTCCGTTGGAATGAGTTTTCCATTGGAATTTCCGTTGGATTTTGACGATTCCAACGGTAGATTTTCCAACAGTGGTGGAAATAAAAATTCCAACGGAAATTCGTACGGCCAAAAGCCGTTGGAAATATAGCCGTTGGAATCATCTAATTCCATCTAAAATTCCAATGAAAAATATATTCCAACGGAATATTTTCGTTGGAATCATTCCAACGGAAGCTATACCGTTGGAATATCCGTTGGAATTTCCATTGGAATATATTACCATAGGATTTTCCGTTGGAATATAACAATGTTTTCCATCTATTTTTAAGAAAACTGATGTTAAATGTCTTGTTTTAAATCGGTTTTTAAACCAACCAATGTAAAACAATTTAATAAAATTGATTTTTCATATATTTTTGGCCTATTTTTTCACTTATGCATTTGGGAAGGTGGAGTATTTTTTCACTTTGTATCTTCGATGTTTAACACGAAATGCGGCACCAATTATCAATCATGAAAAGAACTTTAACTATAACTCAAATTACGCACGTGTCTGTGTGTGGCCTAATTATATTTGACCGGAGAGGCGCTACATAAAATTCAATGGTTTAACGTGAGGCTGTTTGTGGGCCCAGGTATGAGCTACTACTGTTCATTTCCACGTCGGATATCGTATATTCAGATTTGGACGGAAAATTGAGTCAAAAAGATAGACAAACGGGTCAACCCAACAGATATGGAACGCTACCGGCCAAAACGAACAATTTTCAATCATCTTATTAAACGGATAATAAACAGGCAAGTGGGCCCGTTAGTCAATATAATATGAAAGTGGGTGCTGTATATATACTAATATAAGGAAAGTAGTGAGTGTATGGAATAATTTGGAAAAAGGCATAGGAAAACATTCCCCAATTTGAAAAAAGGCATAGGAAAACATTCACCAAACTTTCCGTCTTTTTATTTTTTATTTTTATTTTTGTGGATCACCATTCTTCCCTA